CTGCAGATTTATGATGGTGTTGCCTGATGTTCTCTGCATGATTTTGATCTGACTGCAATGTTAAGTATTGTTTATACAGTGTTTCTGTCAACGATGTTAATCATCTATTTAAACAGTTTGAAACTGTTATTTAAAATGTGTCAATAAATGTTAATTTCATTAAGTCGTTGGAATCATTTGTAGCATTGTTGGGAAGGGTTAATTTTAGGTTTAAAAATTAAATAACACATTATTTAACACAAAATGTGTTAAAAAAAATGCACATCCCCGTGTCTAGTTAAGGACTACACAACATGTGTTGTTTTTAACACAGTCAGTGTGTTGAAATTTCTAACACAAAAAATGTGTTAAATATCTCAACACACTGACTGTGTTAAAAACAACACATGTTATGCAGTCCTTAACTAGACACAGGGATGTGCATTTTTTTAACACGTTTTGTGTTGTTTTCAACACATCTGTTTTAAGAGTGTAGTGCTGGAAAGATGCCTCGCCGTGAGTGTGTGTCCTGACTTTGGGGATGGTTAGGAGTCTGCTGCCGGAGGAGCGCAGGGGCCGGGAGGGTTCATAGGATAAAAGCAGTTCTGAAAGATAAGAAGGCCCAAGACCATTAAGACATTTGAAAACCATTAAAAGAACCTTAAAATCAATCCTGAAACACACGGGGAGCCAATGCAGCGATTTTAAAACCGGTGTAATGTGGTCCCGCCCCCTGGTCTTAGTCAGGACACGTGCGGCCGAGTTTTGGAGTAATTGTAAACCTGAAATGTTCTTTTTGGGAAGACCAGAGAGCAGGGCATTACAGTAGTCAATGCGACTGGTGATAAAAGCATGCATCAGCGTCTCCGTGTTGGCCCGAGAGAGATATAAAGTGGATTGGCTCATAAAACCTAAACTCTATTAGCTCCAGCTGATGTGGGTGTGAGGATATCCTCCAGATGGTGAGAAGCAGTGGTGCTTTGTCAGGAGTTCTGGCTCTAGTCCAAGGCCCATGTCTGACCGTGACAGGAGGTGTGTGTTTGTGTGTGTGTGTGTGTGTGTGTGTGCGTGTGTGTGTGCGTGTGTGTGTGTGTGTGCGCGCATGTGTGTGTGTGTGTGTCTGTGTGTGTGTGCGCGCATGTGTGTGTGTGTCTGTGTGTGGAGCAGCAGCTGGGCTTTGACCTGCTCTCTCTGGGGTCTGGTCCCACCTACCACCAGCCTCCTGCCGGCTCCATGTTTGGACAGAAGGGGAAGAGGTTTTATGGTGGAAGTGTGCGGCAAACATAGGCCTGTGCCGGTGTTACGTCGAGCCGCGTTTCCCCGTCAGATACTGTTTCCCCTGCGTCTACTCGCCGCTCCGCGCCGCTCCGCACCTCGCACGCGGCAAATAGTGCGCGTGCTTGTTCAGCACTCGTAACCAGCGAGCCGTGCTTGCGCGGCGAGGCAACTACAGACACAGTGAAAGCACCTGAGTGATGTTGGCCCCTACCCCACGCAAAACTCAGTGAAAAATAGCCACACTCGTTAGTGCTGGTTTGTGCAGAAAAAATATCGTTTGTGCTGTTTTGGTTTTTCAGGTATGACAACTTTATATTAATATAGCCTATATATATATATATAATATGATATGACAAATAAATAAATAAATATGTATGTATGTATGTATGTATGTATGTATGTATGTATGTATGTATGTATGTATGTATGTATATATATATATATATATATATATATATATATATATATGTATATATATATATATATGTATATATATATTCACAAATATATATATATAAATACATTTATCTATCATGTGTATATATACATGTATTCCCTCAGTGTTAAACAGGGGAAACGCGTCCTTATGGCCAAATTACCCCCGTCAGATACCGTTCCCCCTGTGTTAAACGGGGGAAACGCATCCTGATGGCCAAATAACCCCCGTCAGATACCGTTCCCTCAGTTTTAAACGGGGGAAACGGTATCTGATGGCCAAATAACCCCCGTCAGATACCGTTCCCCCTCTGTTAAACGGGGGAAACGCATCCTGATGGCCAAATAACACCCGTCAGATACCGTTCCCTCAGTTTTAAACGGGGGAAACGGTATCTGATGGCCAAATAACCCCCATCAAATACCGTTCCCTCAGTTTTAAACAGGGGAAACGCATCCTGATGGCCAAATTACCCCCGTCAGATACCGTTCCCTCAGTTTTAAACGGGGGGGAACGGTATCTGACGGGGGTTATTTGGCCATCAGGATGCGTTTCCCCTGTTAAACACTGAGGGAACGGTATCTGACGGGGGTAGTTTGGCCGTCAGATACCGTTTCCCCCGTTTAAAACTGAGGGAACGGTATCTGACGGGGGTTATTTGGCCATCAGGATGCGTTTCCCCTGTTAAACACTGAGGGAACGGTATCTGACGGGGGTAGTTTGGTCGTCAGATACCGTTTCCCCCGTTTAAAACTGAGGGAACGGTATCTGACGGGGGTTATTTGGCCATCAGGATGCGTTTCCCCCGTTTAACACAGGGGGAACGGTATCTGACGGGGGTAATTTGGCCATCAGGATGCGTTTCCCCCGTTTAAAACTGAGGGAACGGTATCTGACGGGGGTTATTTGGCCATCAGGATGCGTTTCCCCTGTTTAACACAGGGGGAACGGTATCTGACGGGGGTAATTTGGCCATAAGGACGCGTTTCCCCTGTTTAACACTGAGGGAATACATGTATATATACACATGATAGATAAATGTATTTATATATATATATTTGTGAATATATATATATAAACAGCCTGTATATATATATATATATACACATACATACATACATACATATTTATTTATTTCTTTGTCATATCATATTATATATATATATATAGGCTATATTAATATAAAGTTGTCATACCTGAAAAACCAAAACAGCACAAACGATATTTTTTCTGCACAAACCAGCACTAACGAGTGTGGCTATTTTTCACTGAGTTTTGCGTGGGGTAGGGGCCAACATCACTCAGGTGCTTTCACTGTCTGTAGTTGCCTCGCCGCGCAAGCACGGCTCGCTGGTTACGAGTGCTGAACAAGCACGCGCACTATTTGCCGCGTGCGAGGCGCGGAGCGGCGAGTAGACGCAGGGGAAACAGTATCTGACGGGGAAACGCGGCTCGACGTAACACCGGAACACACATTTACCCAAACAAAAAACAAAAAAAGGCTTTTTCCGTTCAATGGAAGCAGAAGTAGAAGACCAGCCGTGGTCTTATGTGCAATACTTTAATTTCAGAGTGTCCACTGAATGTCACTTTATCGACTTATCCTGCCCTCTAGTATGTATATAACTTTGCACTAAATATTTAGATAGATATATATTGATATAGACATAGCAGCTACTTATATTGTATATTTTGTGTGCTCCCTGTGTGCTCTTACTACTGTCCTGCCTGTGCGCTGCAACATTGAAATTTCCCCACTGTGGGACGAATAAAGGCTCTCGTATCTTATGTATTGCTTAATTTTTTTTCAGGCTATTGTATTTTATTCATCTACTGTCAATGCCCTGTTGACTCTGGTTAATCTAACTTTTTTTGACCCATCTTTAGTAAAATATCAAGTCCAAAAATATTGTCCACAAACCAACAATAACCCTAAGCTTAGGGCGGCACGGCGGCTTTCGCTTCTCAGCAAGAAAGTCCTGGGTTCAAATCCCGGCCAGAACAGGACCTTTCTGAGTGGAGTTTTCATGTTCTCCCCGTGTCTGCGTAAGTTTCCTCCGGGTGCTCCGGTTTCCCCTACCACTAAAAACATGTAGAATAGGTCTGGCATGCTTCTCCTGCACTAGCCCCGCTCCCATCTCTGTGTGGAGTGAGAGACAAATGCCCAAAATTAACAATTGTCCAGCGCTTTGTGACTCTGGTCTGAGAAAGGCGCTATGTAGTAAGCAATATATTATATCACTCACTAACTTACTAACTAATCACTAATAAATAAGTCTTGAGTATTTCCCTGCACACCAGGAGGTAGGAATGTGTGCTTCATCATCAGCTTTGGAGATCAACAACTGTCTTTTCTTAGCAAAATAAAAAAAATACATTCATGGAACACATTGCTATTTAGTCAACAGTGTGTGGTCCTTCACAGCGGTCGGAGACCATCCGGGGTTTGTCAAACTGGTTCCACAAAGGACCAGTCTAGCTGCAGGTTTTCATTCGAACCAAGCAGGAGAAAACCAGACTCCACCCATTTACTCAAGTCATCAGGTTAAGACTGGACTCACCTGAGGAAATGGGCGGAGTGTGGTTTGCTCCTGCTTGGTTGGAATGAAATCCTGCAGCTGCTTTGAGCACCGGTATGACACCCCTGGCCCTGGTCCATCATGTGGTCTGTCTTTTGCAGCGGTCTGAGTAAACTTGAGTTGCTCTTGTTCTACTGTTTGTGTGAACGCGTTTGTCATCTCCATAGTCTCGCACCAGGGTACATCTGTGACATGTTGGTGCCATAGGAACCAGCCCAGACTCTGAGGAGCACAGGGACTGGCCTCTTGGTGGTGCCCAGGCTCAGGACCAGACATGAGGAGGCTGCATGTCAGATTTATGCAGCTAAGGACTGGAACAATCTTCCCGGAAACGTGAGACAAGAGTCTACTCTGCCAGTTAAAATCCAGGTTAGCTGTGCCCTCACCTGAATGACTTTATCTTTATTCTTTTTAATGCACTGCAGCTATTTATGATTTCAATCCTATTACTTGTGATTTTTTAAAATGTTTTTAGTATTTGTTTTTATTGCCCTAAGGGATTTTAATTACAAGTTTGTTTATGTAGATTTTAATGTTTTTATTTTTGCCTGATGTGATGTGGGTTGTGAGGCGCTTTGTGTTGCCTTGCGCATACGAAAGGCGCTCTACAAATAAAAGTTAAATGATTGATTGAAGTCTAATCCGTGTCTTTTCCAAAATAGCCGACACATTCAAAGTTAGCATCGTCGGTCGCCTCTTTGTGCTCGACTTGATGAATGCAAAGCTGTCTACACCTTCCTGCAGGGAGTGAAAGCAGAGCCAGGAGCCACAGAGGTCAGCTGCTCGGCTCCTGAAGAGGATCACAGAACGACACTAAAATTGCTGACTCAGAGAAACTCCACAACCTCGAGCTGCAAAGTCCTTCAAACACAGCAGAGAGAGAACAAACACGAAACAGGCAAAGATCACAACAACCGAGGACTGTGAAAGACACTAGTTTTATTTACTTTAAAATGAACAACAAAACAATGATTAAATATACGAACAATATTAAATTCTATAAAAAGATTTCAAGTTTAACCGTTTTTTGTTTCAATGCTCCGTCAGCAAAAACATTAAACATTTACCTTTTGTAATCATTATACTTGATGTAAAAACTTGCCGATTCTGATCTGGTCCGAGATTGGTTCAGAGCAATCTCAGCTTGGAGCAAGTTCTAGTTACCATAGCAACATACGTGTTTACACATCAGCAGTTAGCATTTAGAAGAACAAACTGGTTTTTGCTGCATTTCAGTTAAAATAACCAACACTTATTAAGAGATAAAAACTGTATAAATTGCTTACTCCTAATAAAAGCACTGAAATATTAAAACTGTTTTCGGGATTTTTCAGAATTCCATTGATTTGAACGGGGACCGTCAAATTTCTCCAGAAGTTCTAGTAGTTACAGAATTCTGAGGTCCTTGTGTCAAGTTTGGACAAAAATGAAAGCAGTAGAATTATTGATTTCCAACTCCTATAAAACCTCAAATGTTAAAGTGCAAACGCTGCTGAGAAAAGTGCACTTTCTACTTGAACTGCCTCTTACTCCAACTGTAACTTAAGACGTGTATTTTTATTGCAACTCTGCACCGCGTTCTTTCAGCGGAGACAAGAATCCAAATGTGCATTGATCTTGTCTTCCTGCACTTTTGCCTGACACACCGGACAGCTGACCGTCACTGCTGCTGCCGACGAAGAGGAAGAGGAGGATGACGAGGTAGCTAGGTTTGCCCCCACAGAGGTTTGGGGCGAGGTCGAAGTTGTGGCTGTAGCACTTTTTGGCACTTTTGATGAACTAGCACTTATTGAATCCCTCGAGCTTCCTCCCACAGTCTTTTGGAAGTAGTTAGAAATGCTGGTGGGGCTTCTGCTGTCCTCCCAGGGTCTCTTCTTTGACCCACTAGAAGAAGCCCTCTGCGTTTTGGTCTCATCAGAATATTTAGAGTGCGTGGCTTTAGCTGGACTCCTATTGGCTGGAATCACTGGAGGATACTTTGGATGAACAGATTTGCTTGGAGTCGATTTGGATGGAGTCAAACTTGGAACGGATTTTGTGTTTTTAGTTGAATTTGACGCGTTAAAGAGATCTCCGATGGATCTTGGGCGCACCGTCTCTGTTCCAGCACTCGTCTTGTTGCCCAGAGGTTTGTTTATTCGAACAGGGGAGCCGTTTATGTTGACAAAAACCTTAATGTTACTTACAGACCGCTTCATTGGAGGTTTATGAACGGATGCGGTAGAAGGAGAGGCACTTGAGGAGGATTTGGTTTGCAGTCCAGGGCGAATAGGTGAATGGGTGGAGGTGTTTTTAGAAGGAGAAGTCGGAGTGGAGATAGCAGCTGACGGTGGGACGGACGCAGAGGAAGAGGGCGGGGTCTGAGACTTTCCTCCGAGAAGAAATCCTTTCCCACTGAATGCGATAATGTTTCTGATGTCCTGAGAAGCTGAAAGGAAGAATAAACAAAATATTTATTCTACTGAGCAAATATTGTTATTATTATTATTATCATCAATGTAATTTAGAAAATAGTAATAAGACATTAAATATACTGTTCCAATTACAATGTGTATGTAATGCCAAAAGTGACCAGCAGGGGGCAATGGGCAAGTTTACATGCTTTTATAATGTACAATCTATCTACATAAAAAATTAATCAACTCTTAGCTGAAGGAGAGAGTGATACCCTTGACAAAGAGTAAGGAGACGGGTGTATGGTCAGTGAGTGTTTGGGTTTGTGTGTGTGTTTCTTGCCTTGTATTGTATGCTGTGTTCTGTTGTAACTTATTATATGATATTGCTTTTATTTTCAAATTGTATTGTCTTTTGTGTATGTCTTATGTTTTAATGTGTGAGAAGGGATTGGAATAACAAGTTTTAGCTTTTCCTTTTTCAAATTATGTACCTGTGTTTTATTTTTTTTTATTTTCTCCATGAACAATTGTTGCTACATGTGTGCAGGTTTTAAATGAACTCAGTCAATTAAAAAAAGATGCAGTAAAGTCGAATCACCTGACGTTGAGGGTTTGCTATTTTCATTCTTTTCTTTCCCAAAGGACGAAGCCGGTTTCTCCGATGGCGCCGTCTTATCCTTTTCCTTTTTATTGCTTTTCTTTTTCCCGTATCCTTCAGGCTCCTTCACTTTAGTGTAGGTCCCGCCGCACGTCCGTCTGTGGTCTTCCCACCAGGGATCCAATCGGGAGGGAGCCCGGTTCATGGCCCTCTTCACGTAACCGAAGTAGGGCTTACGGCTCTGACAGGGGCCATCACAACGCCACCAATGCTGCCGATACACATCCACTTCATCATGGAAACTGTGGTAGATCTGAAAGAAGAAAGTTATTTGTGTGAGACTGAAGCATTATTCCTACAATATGTGCTTTATAAAGAAAAGAGAAGCAGTTGTGTTATAATAACCATCATGATGAAATACACACCGAGATTTTGGTCCCAGTAGCATCATTGATACGATCCATGTGTTTGCAGAACTCTGGTCCATGCCCGTCTCTGTCCCGATTGTTTTGCGTCACAAACAGCAAGGCATGGATCATTTCATGGAGCAGTGTCTGTGGAGAGAAAAGCGAGTTAGTAGAACATTGTTGTTGTATAAAATGAAGTTGATTTGGTGAGTCCCAAGACAAAGCTGAAGTACCACATTTTCATAAATAAACTCACCTCAACCAAATCTTTTCTCGGTCTCAACTTTAATAAGGGCTCGCTCAGTCGGATGGAACACAGCCCACCTCGTCCCTCATAGGAACACACTCCAGCACATCTGAGAAATAGAAATAAATGGTCATTAAATGGACTAATGCCAAGGTATTGCTAGTTACATATTAATAACAGTTTCTTACAGCGTCATCCTTGGGCTCCACTTCACCTCCACCCCGCTGAGCTTCCCCCAAAAGAACGTTTCATTAAACTCCAGGAACATGGATCTAACATCGGGGTTTGGGTCCAGGGTCTCCCAGGATGCGTCCACAATAGACAGCGGTCTCTCGGGCACAGCTTTCGGCTTCCAGTAGGGGACGACGTCGCTGCCTCCTCCAGCTGTCTCCACTTTGCGTTTCTTACTGCTTTGCTCAAACGGATTGTCCTGAAATCCACTGGAAGGGAATGCAGAGGCCTCGAATTCATTGTCAAATTGCTCCTGTAGCTGTATGGCAAGAAGCAAATCTGCATCCATGGCTAAAGAAAATCGAGTTAGCTGCTCTGGCTAACGAGCAGGCTAGCTTGCTAACGTTAAAACACTCATAAACATAAAACAAACATCCCAAATTGCAGTCGCTATCTTACATGGTTATGGTCAAAGATATCTAGAGGCAGGACATGGTTCTAAAAGAGAATAAATGATGAATATTGACAACATAACTTGGTGCTGCTGTGCTGTCACTATGCTAGCTCACAATGCCACAGTGGGCGAAACCAAAGTTTGAACTTTAGGGTAGTACCGCGGCTATGCATCATAGACTGTAAATATTAATGCTTTTTGATAAACACACAGGACACGCTTTAGAAATAAAGTCAATAAAATAAACTTAATCAACAAATATACGCAATTAATTACACAATTTGTGCAATATGGTTTCTAAAGTTGAGCAATATTATTAACAGCGTCACCCCCATTGATCTGTACTGTGGATGACCCCACACAGCCACGGTTAGAGGTAACAAAAATAACACTATTTTATAAATGTAATTAAACTGAATTGATGAACGTATCTTCTTTGACATAAAGCATACAAATTAATATAGAAAATAGTTATTTGAATTTCATGGTCACATGATGTTTTACGGTGGAACTTCCGGTATAGCTTCCTGTTTTGGCTCTAGCCGGAAACGAAAAGCAGTGGACATTTTATGCTCTTTTTTGTGCGTTTTCATTATCCTTATTCAGTTGTCTGGTCCTGTAGGACAAAACAAACACGTTAGAAATGTCGGAGACTGGGAATCGACTCCGGAAACTTCTCGAATCGCCTAATTTCGACTCGCAGAGCTACGTGAAGCAGCTCTCCCAGCAGTCCGATGGCGACAGAGATTTGCAAGAGCACCGCCAGAAGATCCAAAACCTGGCGGACGAAACGGCTCAAAACCTGAAGAAAAACGTGTACAAAAACTACAGGCAGTTCATAGAGACGGCAAAGGAGATCTCCTATTTGGAAAGCGAGATGTATCAACTGAGTCACATCCTCACAGAGCAAAAAAGCATCATGGAAAGCATCACTCAGGCCTTGATGTCTGCAGATAAGGATGAAACTTCTAAAGAAATGCAGGCTGCTTTCCCTAAAGAAACAGAGGAGCTCAAGCAAAGAACACTCACTTCACTCTTGGAGAAGGTAGAGGGGGCTAAAAATATTATGGACACACCAGGCAGGCATTTAGTTTACAACGGAGACTTGGCTGAGTTTGATGTTGATAATATGTGTCCCATACAGAGAGTGCATGCTTTTCTTATGAATGACTGCTTGCTTATTGCCACATGGCTTCCAAACCGTAGAGGCGCTATAAAGTATAAATATAATGCATTGTACGACCTGGAGAGCTTTGCTGTGGTCAATGTGAAAGACAACCCTCCAATGAAAGACATGTTCAAGATATTAATGTTTCCAGATAGCCGCATCTTCCAAGCAGAGAACAGCAAGATAAAGAAAGAATGGCTTGAGATTCTGGATGAGACAAAGAAGAATAAAGTGTCAAAAGATAAGCATACAAAGGAGGAGGTGGTCCCCACTTCTCCGGTCAGAGCTGAGGTGTCCACCAATCCCTTTGACGTGGAGGATGAAGAGCAGGCAGACTCACAAGACGACGTGAATTTGAATATGGAGTGGATACAGGAGCTGCCGGAGGACCTCGACGTCTGCATCGCTCAGAGGGATTTTGAGGGAGCTGTGGATCTTCTGGACAAGCTCAATGAGTATCTGAAGGACCAGCCGGTGACGCCCAAAGTGAAAGATCTGAGGTCCAAAGTGGAGGAGAGAGTGCGACAGCTGACAGAGGTGCTGGTGTTCGAGCTGTCTCCAGACCGGTCTCTGCGAGGGGGACCCAAAGCCACCAGACGAGCAGTGTCCCAGCTCATCAGACTAGGTGCTTCATGCTATTTCCCTTTGATTTTGTTTTTCTATTTTTCCTTTGATTTGATTTGAATACTTTATGTTGATCCAAACAACAATATCACATTATGCGCCATACTGCAAGCACTGCGCCCACACGCAACATTTATACAGAAGGAAGAACAAAACAAAACAAAAAGGTACAGGGAGAATCTGTACAACATATTTTATTATTGAACAATTTTTAGCACAAAAAAGAGTGAGAAGAAAACTTTTAACTCCATTCACATATATATTTACCAGCAGTTGAGTAGCACATTTATTATGAGCAGAGAGGGCGAGCTATAGTACAGGTTTAAAGAAAGGATTAGATCAACTTTATTGTCCTAAAGGAAATTTGTTGTAGGTTACTCTTTAGCTTTTGCTTGTTAAAATCCCTCATAAACAGAACATATGTTGCTTATTCTTTCTCTAAATGTGAAACAGACACAGAAAAAACATTGAAAAACAAACCTTTTTGGAAATAAAAACATACATGGAATACAATAGATATAATACAATATATACACACACACACATACATATATATTAGGTTGGGCGGCACGGTGGCTGAGTGGATAGCACTCTCGCTTCTCAGCAAGAAGGTCCTGGGTTCTGAGTGGAGTTTGCATGTTCTCCCCGTGTCTGCGGGTGCTCCGGTTTCCCCTATCACTAAAAATATGCTCACTAGGTAAAATCCTCCAGCTCCGGTAGTCCTGACCAAGCCGAGCATTGCTCCTGACTTAGTGGCATCAGGATGGGTCAAATGCAGAGGACAAATTTCCCTACGGGGACAATAAAGTGCACATTTAAGGTCATGTAAATGTTGTAGCAAAATGCCATGTTTCAGGCCTAATTTAAATACGGCTATAGTTTGAATAGTTCTCAATTGATGTGAAAGAGTGTTCCACAGATGAGGAGCATAAAACTAAACGCTGCCTCGCTCTTTTTAGTCCTGATGTTTAGAACACAATCACAAAGTGCACTTGTCCCAGACCTGAAGACCCTCTCACTTTCATATGGAACAAGCATATCTTGCACATATTCTGGGGCAAGTCCATTCAGTGCTTTGTACTAAGAGACGTTTATAAAGTCTCTCCTGGAAGTAGGGCTGGGCAATGAATCGAATTTAGGCAATTAATCGGCTTTTGAATAAATCGAATTTGTGAAAAATGTTAAAATCGTGAAATCGAATGAAGGCTATTGTGGGAGTTCCAGCACCACATGAATCATATTTGCAATATCAGCACAGTCTGTACAAGACTTTTATAATACGAATTGGGGGAAACAAATTAGACATAGTTTTGAAACTTGAATATTGAGCGGGAAGATCAAAACATATTTTTAAGGCCAAAGTCTTTCTTTGGTGACTAAAAATCGAAATCGTCCAAAGCAGGAAATAAAATCGAGATTTTTCTTTTTTGCCATATCGCCCAGCCCTACCTGAAAGGCAGTGTAAAGATTGTAAAGCATTATTGAAAAGGAACATTGTAAGCAACATTATAAAGTTGTATTTCTATTAAAGGACACATATTTGATCATGTCTCAAATGTTTTCTTGTGTTTCAGGTCAATCCACCAAAGCCTGCGAGTTGTTTTTGAGGAATCGTGCAGCTGCTGTCCAGACGGCGATCCGACAGCTCAGAATCGAAGGAGCCACATTGCTCTACATCCACAAACTCTGCAACATCTTCTTCACCAGTTTATTGGAGACGGCCAAAGAGTTTGAGATGGACTTTGCAGGAAACACAGGATGCTACTCGGCCTTCGTCGTCTGGTCTGGATCTGCCATGAAAATGTTTGTGAATGCCTTCAGTAAGCAGGTATGTGGATCGTCTATAACCAGGAGTGCTCCGATGAGTACTAGGAGATGGTGTTTGGGACTCACCCCGTTCGTTGTGTGGTTCTTAGTCGAGATTTTATACTTGCTTATTTATTATGCTGAAGTTTAGATAAGCTCAGATAATCCACTCTCAGCCCAAAAAGTCAAATAGTGACTCACAGGTCTCTTTCTTAAACATGCAAATAAAAAAGTGGCCGCATTTGCTAATGGGTCAGAACGCTGCGACAACAAAGGATGTGGATATTCTTATAGATTCATGGTGGAATCCCGTTCACCCCTTTGGCATTAAGCCCCGCCCCCTTACAGGTGCCTCTTTGAGATGGACTGGTCTATGTGAGGACCGCGAAGGCACTCAAGCGATAACACGCATTTCTGATTGTTGTCATTTAAGATAAGATAAACCTTTATTTGCATGCCAGATATGTGCACCCCCTGTCTATAGCAAAGGAGTCAAGTGGTCCCAGAAAGGGCTAGTGTGGCTGCAGGTTTTCATTCCAACTAAGCAGGAGCACACTACACTCCAAACAATTTCCTTAAGTCTTCAGGTTAAGACTGAACTCACCTGAGAGACCAGAGAGAGAGACCAGAGAGAGAGACCAGAGAGAGAGACCAGAGAGAGAGACCAGAGAGAGAGACCAGAGAGAGAGACCAGAGAGAGAGACCAGAGAGAGAGACCAGAGAGAGAGACCAGAGAGAGAGACCAGAGAGAGAGACCAGAGAGAGAGACCAGAGGGAGAGACCAGAGGGAGAGACCAGAGGGAGAGACCAGAGGGAGAGACCAGAGGGAGAGACCAGAGGGAGAGACCAGAGAGAGAGACCAGAGAGAGAGACCAGAGAGAGAGACCAGAGAGAGAGACCAGAGAGAGAGACCAGAGAGAGAGACCAGAGAGACTCGCTGCTTGTTCTGAATTTAAACCTGCAGCCACACTGGCCCTTTGAGGACCTGTTTTACACACCTGGTCTATGATATTCACAAAAGAAAACCATAATATATCTAAAAGTTGACACAAAATACAACAACATTACTTGGTTCTAGGAAACACTGTCCATAAACCCAGTGTCTTTGTGATTTTCCCAGGTGTTTGACAGTAAAGAAAGCCTGTCCACTGCAGCGGAGTGTGTGAAAGTGGCCAAGGAGCACTGCCAGCAGCTGACGGAGATCGGGCTGGACCTGACCTTCACGCTGCAGTCTCTTCTGGTCAAAGACATCCGGGCGGCGCTACAGAGCTACAAAGACATCATCATCGAAGCCACGAAACACCGGAACTCTGAGGAAATGTGGAGGAAGATGAACCTCATGACACCGGAGGCACTGGCCAAACTGAAGGTGCGAGAGAGCCCCGTTTGTGGTAGAATTTGTTACATTAAAAGTGAGATATTGTGGAAGAGAGAGATGGAGACTAGAGAGAGAGGGTGACCAGAGAGAGCAGAGAGAGAGGGAGGCCAGAGAGCAATGGAGACCAGAGAGCAATGGAGACCAGAGAGCAATGGAGACCAGAGAGAGAGGGAGGCCAGAGAGCGATGGAGACCAGAGAGAGAGGGAGACCAGAGAGAGAGGGAGACCAGAGAGAGAGAGAGAGACCAGAGAGAGCAGAGAGAGAGGGAGGCCAGAGAGCAATGGAGACCAGAGAGCGATGGAGACCAGAGAGAGAGGGAGACCAGAGAGAGAGGGAGACCAGAGAGAGAGAGAGAGACCAGAGAGAGAGAGAGAGAGACCAGAGAGAGAGAGAGAGACCAGAGAGAGAGAGAGAGAGACCAGAGAGAGAGAGAGAGAGACCAGAGAGAGAGGGAGACCAGAGAGAGAGAGAGAGACTTTTCTTTGCAGGATTCCAAAAGTGGCCAGTACTTTTTCACATTCCTCACATATTCTTGATCTTCTGACATTTTTTATTTATTTTTTCTAGGAGGAGATGCGCAGTTGCGGCATCAGCACCTTCGACCAGTACACGGGGGAGGACTGCTGGGTCAACCTGAGCTACACCATCGTGGCCTTCACCAAACAGACCATGAACTTCTTGGAGGAAGGCCTCAAACTCTACTTCCCGGAGCTCCACATGGTTCTCCTGGAGAGCCTGCGGGAGATCATCCTGGTGGCGGTGCAGCACGTGGACTACAGTCTCCGCTGCGAGCAAGACGCCGAGAAGAAAGCGTTCATCGTCCAAAACGCCACCTTCCTCCACGACATGGTACTGCCCGTGGTGGAGCTGAGGTTCGAGGAGAGCGTGGGGAAACCGGCCAAGCAGCTCCAGGACCTGAGGAAGAGCTCCAGGCCGGTGCGCATCAACCCAGAGAGCACAACGTCCCTGGTCTGAAAGAACTGTGGCTGTGCCTGTCCATATACATTGCAAAAAATGATCAAATATGAGGTTATAAATGCTTGAATGGAGTGCTTTTAATCCTAATCAGAGTACATTGTGACTGCCTTTAAACAAGATATGAATAGTTCATTTGCAAAAACAATAAGTGACATTAGAAAAGCACTTGGATATTGGAAAGACATACAATTTGCCCTTTACCAAGTAGTTTTTTTGAAAAGCCAGGTGTTTTTGAGTGGCATACAAAGCATTTTTCACCCCTTGTTGAGCAAAGTTTACTGCCAATAAAAAAAACATGTTGATTATTTATTGCAGCTAAAGAAATACAACTCTTTCAAAACGGAGAAATCTGTTATTGCAAAGGGGACAAAGCCATTTAGTCCCATTTATTTTGCTTTGTGTCCCATCGGCAAATCTGGTTTTAAGGCATTCAACATGTACCCAAATGAAGATACATTTTGCCCAATTTGTGACTTATTTTTCATCACTTTTTGCAGTATAAGCGGCTCATTCTGATTAAACCGTCGCACTTTCTGCAGCTGTCAAGAAACTCCGACTCACTACAGAACTTTAAATCCCACTATTTCAGTTATTTGTTCACGTTGTGCAGGATTATATCTTTATCACGATGTTTTTCCTTCTCATATTGTGATTATAAGAAATGCTTGATTGGTCGCACAGCGGGGAAATGCCAGTGTTGCATCAAACAGTAGGAATAAGAAGCACACAGCACAAAAGAAGTGACCCATAATTCTTTGCTCTTGTCTCCCAGCTCTAAGTAAACTCTAAAGTTACTTCTGAAACAGATAATATCCTGGTGAATAATAACGAATCTGCAAAAAACTCCTGCTACTACTTTAAACTCTGCTGTAAAGTCATAACCATCACTATTGTGTCTAATGTTTGTTTATACATTTGTTTTAATTCATTTTGCACTTAAATCTTTCGTTTCAACGCGTGAATACTTGTGATATATATAATTGTATTCATTGTATTTACTTATATGCGTTATTATTATAGATCCATGGTTATAACAAATGGGTGGATGACCATTTGGATGTGCATGTTGGTAAATTAAGACTGAAAAGGCCTGACTGAAGTTGTTGTATGAGTGAGAAAATGAAATTAAAACATAAAATTTAACAATGCCGAGTTGTTTTTGCTCCACGTGACGCGACAAAGCAGGACGTTCTTGGCGCCATCTGGTGGTGGTGAGTAGATCGACCTGAGCTGAGTTTCATTCATAAAAGACTTGTTTTGTTGCGTTGCTGAATTTTAAAGCTTGAAAAAAGGATGAATTCATTTGTACTGCGCCTGAATAAGTCCAAAGTAGTTTGCTTCTTCACTATAACTTTAACTGTGTAATGTGTTTCTTATTTTGGACAGTATTTTTCATTTTAAATTACATACTTTTACGTGTCCTAGATCACATCCTCAGGTCGCAGGTAAAAAACATGTTTGGTCTTTTATGAACACCGCTTTAAAGTAGAGTTATATGTTTAGAGTTAAAAGAGTTGTTTCTTATTATAATGACCATGGACATAATATTTAAGGTTGCGGTTTTAATTCCATCAGTGACATCAGGGACATCAGTGACGTGTGCAGAGCTGTCAGCTGGAGACATCATTTTATCTCGTCCTGGTGATTGAACAAATGAATGTCCGCTCGGCTTCACGGCCTCTCGTTATAATCACTGATGTGGCCACAGACCCAGAGCGCCGCTCACTGAACTCCAGATTATCCCAGAGACATGTGCTATGGTGGGATTACAGCAGGAAAGTAACACATTCTGCTGTTTCTATTGTGATCTGTGCTGTTCAAATACACCGGATTTTATCACCCACTTCTTATTTAAAGGGAGAGAATACAAGAAACTCCAGCAAATCAAGAGGATACATGAAAAAGACAGAGATTGAAATGGCCATTCCTACATGTGAAGTCAAGATACTATCAGACTTTTGACGCTAAGCTTGCAGGGCCTGGTCAGTACTGCAATGGGAGACCTGGGGACACTGACAAAAGTGCGGAAACCGGTATGTGTCATCCACCACCAGCCATTCACCCACACCAGACTCATTCAAGGGGCTCTTTCATTGTGGGTGAAGTGTCTTGTCCCACTGAGATGTGTGTGAATGGCTGGTGGTGGATGGCACATACCAGTTTCTGCACTTTTGTCAGTGTGCCCCAGGGCAGCTGTGGCTACACCACCATGTGAATTAATAATAACATGTAAAGAATAATAAATAAATAAAAATCTGAATGAAACTGATGCAGTAATACAAATACTGTATTGTTTTTATTTATTGGGGACTACACTAGATCCATGTTCATAAACACAAAAGCACAGGCAGATAATCATACTGTTCTTTTTGTATACTAGGCCTGGGTTATAATTGTTTTCTTTGTTTTCTTCTTTGTTAAAACAGTGACTGACACTGACCATGGAGCACTGCCGTAAAAACACATATACCACCGAACATTATGTGAAACCGAAAATGGGATAATTAATGAGAAGATACTGTGTTGAATGGGATGTGTGTATTTCCCCTGGGCCCACACGCTGCAGCTGCAGAATGTTTGCTTAACTCACCAACACCCACTGGGCGTCTCTCTGACAACGTAAAGGTTAAAGGATCAATACTGTTCTCTATCCCCCTGAAAACACCAGGGCCACAGCCTCTCCTTCTGTCCACTCTGTAGCTTCACAATTTACACCAGAAACTGTATATATTTATTATATATACAGATTTATATATGTTTCGGAGTAATACTGTAGATATAAACACTCTTTTGTACCGGCAGCTATTTCTACACTAAACTCAGACCATAGACAGAGAAAACAGGGGTTGAATTTTGGCTAGAGGGGGACAGTTTTTGTCTTCTTCTTTTTTTTCCTGTTATGTATAACTGCCATTGACCTTACTGGAAGACTGTATGAGGGCACCTTGTTGTCTGAATGTATGGATAAATTGCTTATGTTATGTTTTTACGTGTCCCTGTGCTGTGAACCAAATTGCAGGGACATGAAATAAAGTGAAGGTGATAGACCGGCAGCATGTGTTACATTTACAATATAAACATTCAACCCACAAGTAAGAGTTGAGCCAATTATTACATTTTTCCTCATCACTTAAAATAACACAGCTTCTATCCCTTATTTCAATCCATGTTAAATGAAAGTATGAGGCTCAAATACCTCCACATGAGAGAAAACATCAACATTAACCACAGAAGCCAAACTTATCATTCAGAAAGCGTTGGATTCCTGCTGTAAAGAAACATGCCCTTCAGCAAAACGAGTTTGACAGCTCTGATTTAAGCCCAAAAATGACTCCTCTCCTCTCCTCCCCTCTCCTCTCCTCTCCGCGCATGCGCATTGGTGCAGAGGGAGCTGTCCCCCAGTCGGTGCTGAAGCTGCAGCTGCCTCCGGTGCTGCCCTCACACAAACACAGCTCCAGCGCACGACGACAGCCATGGAGGAAGAGCTCAAGTGCCCCGTCTGCGGCTCCCTCTACAAGGAGCCCATCCTGCTGCCCTGCTCCCACAACGTCTGCCTCTCATGCGCCTGGAGCATCACGGTCCAGACCCCAGAAGGCGAGACCCCGGCGCAGAGAGCCTCGGGAAGCTCGGACTATGACTACCTGGATATGGATAAGATGAGTCTGTACAGCGAGACGGACAGTGGGTACGGGTCATACACGCCGTGCCAGCTCAAGTCCCCCAACGGCGTAAGGGTCTTCCCCCCGAACGCGCCTCGCCACTGCTCCCTGACCTGCCCTCTCTGCCACCGCAGCGTGAGTCTGGACGAGCGTGGGTTGAGAGGATTCTCCAGGAACCGGCTGCTGGAGGCGATCGTGGCGAAGTACCAGCAGACCAGAGGCATCACCGCTGCTGCTGCCCCATCCTCCACCTCCACATCCTCTTCATCCTCATCTGCAGGCGTGAAGTGTCAGCTGTGCGACCGGAACCCACTGGACGCCACGGTGATGTGCGAGCAGTGCGACGTCTGTTACTGCAACGCGTGTCAGCAGCGGTGCCATCCCTCCAGAGGACCCCTGGCCAAGCACCGCCTGGTTCCGCCGCAGAGGAGAGCCGAGAGAGCGCAGGGCAGCAGCGGGGGACAGATGCCTCCTCTCACCGCCAGGAAACCGGCCACCTGCGCGGACCACGAAGCCCAAAACTTTAGCGCGTACTGCTGCACCTGCAAGAGCCCGGCGTGCGCCAAGTGTCTGGAGGAGGGCAAGCACCATCAGCACGACGTGAAGCCGCTGGCAGTGATGTGGAAGCAGCATAAGGTGAGCTCCATCCCGCTGTTTCTAAATTATCATAATTGTGTGTCCAGTCATTGGTCCATTGCGCAGAAAGCATTACAGTTTGATATATGTATGTATTTATTTATTGATTTCAAGCTTATAAACAGGAATCAATTATGGAATTCGCAGTTACATATTCTACATATGATACAAACTAAAACACATAGAGAGATTCTGGCAGGGCCATTTTGTCAATGTGACTGCTCATATTCACAAAATCAACTCAGATTTTCCTTTTTCACAACTTTTGTCCCCCGAGTACAGAACCCTTACTATGGGGACAATGAATTTTAAAGTCACTTTTGAGGATAGAGACTATACACACACCGATAAATGACATATTTGGGGTCATAACACAAGTTGACAGCCAAAAAATGGTCAGGGGTTTCTCAACTGCTTAGACTAATTTTGGTGTTCTGAGTCCGAATAACGGATTACGTACGTCTACGTTATTATGAATTCTGCTTATCAAATTTGATGAAGTAAATAAAAACGGAATGACTTTGGACACATTAACTTTTATTTCTTGAGGAAAACGGAAAAAACGTCAAGGGTTTCTCAGCTGATGATCCGCAGAAATTTGTTTTTTACGCAAAATCGATTTCAAAAAATATTTCTGTAGCAAAAAATCCTGACCTGATTGAGCAAAACCAATGTCATTCATGACTCAGAGCATCAAAATGAGTCTAATTCAGCTGGAAAACCCTGGACTATTTTCAAAAAATATTTTTTTGTTACCCAGTGTAATTATACACACATCCATTAATATTATCTTGGGGGTCTGCATTATACAGACATCAATCAATGTCATATTTAAGGTAATTCCTGTTATTGTCTTACATTAGATACCAAAAGAAACTCCCTTGAAAAAAGTCACTTATGTCACTTCCTGGTTAAATAAAGGTGAAAAGTCTAAGACTATTACCAATGTGAAGGTGCTGGCAGTGATGTGGAAGCAGCATAAGGTGAGCTCCATCCCGCTGTTTCTAAATGATCAATTATCTGTGGTGACCAGCCGTGCGTCGCCGTGTGTCCGGTCTGCGTTGGTCTACTGCGCAGACAGCACTACAGTTTGATTCATGTATGTATGCATTGATTGATTTCAAGCTTATAAACAGGAATCATTTATGGAATTTACAGCAGTTATGATACAAACATATAGTGTACATACATGAACATAATACATACAAAACACACACACATTACATACTGTATATTAAAGGGTTTTCTTTTCTCACTCCTTGTATAGCCCTAAATCATAACAGCAGTCATCTCAGAGGTTGTTGATTCTCCAAGACAGGTCAGAGAATCAAACAGGTCAAACACAAGACCCATACGGAGCGAGATATCCATAAATGCTGTTAAATAAATAAATAAATAAATCACCTTAGACAAGGAACTAAAAAACCCAGCGGGAAAACGTGAGAAACCTTACAGCAATATTACTAATCTTAATTAGTGAGTGGTGATGGTTTCAGCTCAGTGGTTTCTCAGAGCAGAAGGTGGAGCGACATGAGCTCATTTTACAGTTGGTCAGACTCTGAATGTGGGTTTTTCCCAGATACCTACAATAGATTCCAAGTGGCTGGATTGGCAGCTACCTGGAGAAATCCCAATCCATCCCAGTCATGTCTTGTCTTGTTATTGCAGCAGCTTGTGTGCAGACAGTGGCTGAGGTCGGTGTGCACTGCTTTTTCAAAGGCTCTTAAAGGCGTGTCTTCAGGAGCCGGCAGACTGGCTCTGTGGTATTTTCAGCCTAGATATCTATATATGACTCAGCATTCAGCAGCACATGGAGCCTTTCTGGACTTTACAATGAGAAATGACAGGGACGAATTGAGTTGCATTAAGTGGAGCTGAAGTTATCCTGAGCCATGATTAAAACTGACAGTGAGTTCCTCCCAAACACAGTCAGCAGACAATCCCAGTATCTTGCTCTTATTTACAAACAGTAAAAAAAATCTCTTATGACTTAAGGGGGAATTAAACATACCAGCACCACGGACAGCACCCCATTATTGATTTGAATTGGAACGCGTTTATTTGATTGATTTTGGGACGACGCACAATAAACATTAGTCTCGGTTTAGCCAGATTTGAGCAAAAATGCAACTTCCCACTCGTAGTCCCTGGAGTGTGATGATGAAATGACAGTTACACAACTGGGTCAAGCTACAACAAAACAGTTTTTAGCCCAATTCAATTTAAAACTACAGTGCTACCGCGCACATACACAGACGCACACAGACACACACACACACACACAGACAGACACAGACTCACACACAAACACACACAAAAACAGAGAGATAAACAGACAGATAATTTAAAATACCGTCAAGACATTTCTATTTCACACACACACAGAGACACACACACACACGCACACACACACACACACACACACACACACACACACAGACAGACAGACAGACAAATTAAAATAAAGTCAAAACATTACTATCGCACACACACAGACACACAAAGGCACACAAAAACAGACAGATAATATAGAATACAATCAAGACATTACTATTACACACACACACACAGACACACACACACACACACAGCTCAGAGTGACCACCGTTTGGCCGTTCACACATTCTTAGCGTGACTTCTTCGTGCATCAGTGGATCGTGGGGTTGTTTAATAAATCTGTAATCGCTCGTGCTGTTTTGAAACTGTCCAAAGGTTTTACATGAGCTGCTTATCCGTCCTTTTTGTTATTCTTTAAGCACGCAGCAGGATGCCTCTAAATCCTCCACAATGCCCCTTTAAGGCATTATCTGCAACATATGGGTCTACATTTCATCTGCTGGCTTTTTTTTTTTTCCGTTTCTGGTGGAGTCCAAGCTCTTGTGAACTATATTTCATACCAGAAAATATAAGAATTGAGACGATACAGTATTTGCTGGAATTGCTCGAATGCGCTGGAAAACAGCAGCAGGTCCTAAGTGGCTCTGAAACAGTAGTTGTTTTGTGCGTTATGAATTTTATTTTTCTTGATTTTTTCTACCTGAGATGTTGCTGCAGTTCAGTGTTCATGGTTTTACACTGGTACAGACCGGAGCAGAGAGGATTTATGGTCCGAACCGAACCAAGCGGATCAGGTGAAAATCCACTGGAGAAATGCTAACTTTTTTAAAACTACTAATGAAGCATTTAGCATTTTACTTTGGACCAGAGCAGAGAAAATGGTCAGAACCAAGCGGCTACTCCACCTTGTGACCCGTCCTGCTCCACCCAGAGGCTACTCCACCTCTGCTGCTGTGACCCGTCCTGCTCTACCCAGAGGCTACTCCACCTCTGCTGCTGAGACCCGCCCTGCTCCACCCAGAGGCTACTCCACCTCTGCTGCTGTGACCTGTCCTGCTCCACCCAGAGGCTACTCCACCTCTGCTGCTGAGACCCGCCCTGCTCCACCCAGAGGCTACTCCACCTCTGCTGCTGAGACCCGCCCTGCTCCACCCAGAGGCTACTCCACCTCTGCTGCTGAGACCTGTCCTGCTCCACCCAGAGGCTACTCCACCTCTGCTGCTGAGACCTGTCCTGCTCCACCCAGAGGCTACTCCACCTCTGCTGCTGAGACTCGCCCTGCTCCACCCAGAGGCTACTCCACCTCTGCTGCTGAGACCCGCCCTGCTCCACCCAGAGGCTACTCCACCTCTGCTGCTGTGACCTGAAGGGCTGTTGCTGATTATTACTATTGTTAGCTTTTTTAATGATCACTTTTATTTTATATTTTTGCTGCTACCTGAATTTTTCCGACGGGGATCAATAAAGTATCTGTCTATCTAGGATCTGACTCTTCCTAAGACCAACATTTTTCTGTGGTCTATGTATTTTGCTTATTTCCCCTGATTTTTCCATAACCACCTTTTTAATTACAATGTTAAAACTGATTGGACATTGCGTTTTGTGGTTGTACATTGTCTTGTTGTTAGTAATGGGAGCAGTTTTCTATGTGGGCCAAACCATACCATGCTGCGTTTGGCTGATTCCAACGTGAAGTAATTACCATAGACATAAAACGCAAGTATTTATGTGTGTCATGAGTCTTTGAGGTTGCACACACGCACCGCAGAGACGGAAGAAAGAAAGAGGTCTGTAGTCTGTCTGTGGGAGCGGATCTGTCTCTCATTTGGGCATCTCTGAGGTTTCTCACTTTATCCGATCTTTTTCATTCATTTTGAGACGTTCCTTGTTAATGCAGGAGAGTCTAGGGCAGTGTTTTTCAACCAGTGGGCCGCGGGACGTTAGTTTGCCTTGAGATGTCAACGGGTGTGCCTTTGGAAATGATCCAAATATTGTCAAATTAGTCAAAATAATGTGAAAAAAAGTAACGTAGAAGATTAGAAAGACCTTTTTTCTTGCTTATTTGATTCTCTATATAAATGTTTTGATGAGAATGGACTTTCTGTTGTTAATCACGGCTGCAGAGTTTAATTTTCGTGTCCGTTTCAGCTGGTGGTGTGCCGTGGGATTGTGTTTTACTGGAAAAGGTTGCGGCTCAGAAAGGTTGGGGAGCACTGGTCTAAGGACAGAGATAATCCGGGACATTTATGAACATTTATGGACATTTATGTACAGTGCATTGGTCACTCCCTGTGAACAAATGGCTCCGTGTTTTTGCTATTATTGCATTTCCTGTGTCTCTGATCTGTTGTTGGTCAATCGCCAATTTTGCAAAGTCCTCCGAGACGACTGCTGTTGTGATTTCTTGCTCTACAAAAGCATTGAATTGAATTTGAACTTGTGTCTGTCTCTGTCCATGTCTGGCCTCTCTTATCTTCTGGTTTGTCCATACTTTTTTGTTTTGCCTTTTTTAATATTGATTGACGCCAAAAGGTTTTTTTTGGTTGCAGAGAACATTTTGGTTGTAGTTGGTGCATCTTTTTTGTTTTGAACTGTCTTTGCCTTCTGTCGTGAGCTGTCAGGCCTTGAAATAACGCAAATTAAGACAATAATTTATATGAAAATAATAATAATAACGTTGTTTGAACTGCCAATCCAACCTCAGCACAGCTCTCTCCTCCTTCAAATAATCCTTGTCTGTGATTGGATGGTTAGACCCAATGACCCAAATTTAAATAATTTAGGTTACTGTCTTGTGCATTCAGCCGAGAGTCAATGATTTTGCAGGTTTTAAGCTTAGCTCACTCTTTAGCTGTGCTCACACTCGTATAGCACAGTTTATGCTTAACGAAGCAAGAAAGAAACATTAATCCTAAATAATCACAGTGCTACAACTTCCCAAACTGTTATTAACCTGGATTTGAACATTGTCAGAGTAGAAGCCTGGCTAGAGTAGAGTAGAGTTGAACACTAACAGAGTAGAGTAGAGTAGAGTAGAGTAGAGTAGAGTAGAGTAGAGTAGAGTAGAGTAGAGTAGAGTAGAGTAGAGTAGAGTAGAGTAGAGTACTAACAGAGTAGAGTAGAGTAGAGTACTAACAGAGTAGAGTAGAGTAGAGTACTAACAGAGTAGAGTAGAGTAGAGTACTAACAGAGTAGAGTAGAGTAGAGTAGAGTAGAGTACTAACAGAGTAGAGTAGAGTAGAGTAGAGTACTAACAGAGTAGAGTAGAGTAGAGTAGAGTACTAACAGAGTAGAGTAGAGTAGAGTACTAACAGAGTAGAGTAGAGTAGAGTAGAGTAGAGTAGAGTACTAACAGAGTAGAGTAGAGTAGAGTAGAGTAGAGTAGAGTACTAACAGAGTAGAGTAGAGTAGAGTAGAGTAGAGTAGAGTAGAGTAGAGTAGAGTAGAGTAGAGTAGAGTAGAGTAGAGTACTAACAGAGTAGAGTAGAGTAGAGTAGAGTAGAGTAGAGTAGAGTAGAGTAGAGTAGAGTACTAACAGAGTAGAGTAGAGTAGAGTACTAACAGAGTAGAGTAGAGTAGAGTACTAACAGAGTAGAGTAGAGTAGAGTACTAACAGAGTAGAGTAGAGTAGAGTACTAACAGAGTAGAGTAGAGTAGAGTACTAACAGAGTAGAGTAGAGTAGAGTACTAACAGAGTAGAGTAGAGTAGAGTAGAGTACTGACAGAGTAGAGTAGAGAATAGTAGAGTAGAGTAGGGTAGAGTAGAGTAGAGTAGAGTACTAACAGAGTAGAGTAGAGTAGAGTAGAGTAGAGTAGAGTAGAGTACTAACAGAGTAGAGTAGAGTAGAGTAGAGTAGAGTAGAGTAGAGTAGAGTAGAGCAGGCCAAGTGGGGTTGGTGGAAACAGGGCTATCGTTGGGAACTGATGTGGTCTACAGTAGGTTTTGGTTCTCGCTCTGAAACCTTGTATCCGGCTTTAGTCCGACCATAAACATTTGTACCTCCCTCCAGCAGTAGTTTTGCTTTTGCTGCAGTAAAACAAGGCAGGTTTATTTGTATGGCACAGTTCAACACACAGGCCCCTCACCCCGAGTGTGAAGGTGCGGATGAGTAATGGGCCAATTCAAGATGGCCGCCGCTGTGTGTGTTGTGTGTCTGAGGGAGATGGATGGAGCGTTAAAACTCTTACATTATCGCTATCCTCAGATAAAGGAGTTCTTACAAAA